AAAAAAAAAAGACTACAATCCACAATGAAAGATTTCTTTTTAAAACCTGGCCACTATGAAGCATGTTTTCTAGAGTTATGAGGCTACTGGAAACCGGCAGGACTATGTTTCTCAGAAACATGGCCAAGACTAGAGCCTCGGAGTGGCCAGGAGTAGTCCTTCAGGGAGGCAAAAATAGGTAACGATAGTAGAAACTGAAGGTCTAGCTGGGGGGAAGGAGACAGGACAAGGGAAGTAAGCAAAGCCAGGTATTCCAGTGTCAGAGTGGAGTTATTATTTTAGAGAATCTCCTTTATGGGAACTCATATATACAATTGGTCTTAGGGAAATGAGATATCCTTAAAAGAACATTAAAGCAATCACTCTTGTAAAGAAGGAACTTTTTCAATATCCTAATGGGTAGCCTAAATTTACTATCTTTTATTTTCCTAGTCTATATATGAGGTTACTTCAAAAAGTTCCTGGAAAAATTCATATTTATGTTTTAATTCTACTTTTCCGGGAACTTTTTGAAGTACCCTTGTGTAAGGTATAATGAGTTTTCTTATGTAAAATGTAATCCTTTTTACTAAACATGGCTTGCAAAAAAAAAGTTTCTATAAAAAAATTATCTCATTAAGAGGGAAAAAAGTTGTTAAAATTTAAGAGAAGTGTTTTTGCTTCCACCCAAATCTATTGGATTTAATAAAATGGTGTCATAGAAATAAATTGCTGCCTTATAATATAAAGCAGATTACAACCCATGGGATAAAAATAATGCATGATGTTTAAATACTTTCATTTTTATAATTTTCTTTCAGATTATCCAATCCTGTCTAATGTCAAAGGCATTGCATTGTATAAAAGAAAACATGCAAAGGAAATCACTTTAATGGGATTTAATTCCCCCTTCAATGGTCAGTTAAAAATCAATCCTTTATAATATTTTTATTATTAATTACTTCTAAAAATCCACTGATTTTTATTTTAACCTTTTGTTCCTAGGGGAAGTAATCTATGCTATCATGTGCATGACAGTCACCTGTGGAATCCTTCTCTTGGTCATGCTCAAGTTGAGGTAACTGCTTGGAACTCAAAACAGAAGAGCTGGAAAGGAATCACTTAGCCATGTTAGAGCATGTTTCACAATGGCTGAGCTTACAAAGGGCCTAAGAATGAAAGCTTCTCCATTAAGACATACTAAATTAACTTCTGTGTGGATAGGTCCACGGAAAACTTACTCTCAGCCTTCATAGGTAGCGGAAATGTGATCATAGTGGGGGGCTGAGCTTACAAAGGGCCTAAGAATGAAAGCTTCTCCATTAAGACATACTAAATTAACTTTTGTGTGGATAGGTCCACGGAAAACTTACTCTCAGCCTTCATAGGTAGCGGAAATGTGATCATAGTGGGTTTTTTTTACATTGCATTTTACAAGCACATATGCATTGTGTGTTCCCTCCAACTAAACTGTAATCAATCTTTCCCCCTGGTTTTCCTACAAAGTCCAAATTGAACTTTGCTGCATTCCTTATTTGAATCACTTGCAGGATTGATAAATTCACATCACTGACCTATAGTGTACTTCACATACTTTATATTTACCTGAAGATTTATACTTCGCTCTAATTTCTTATATGCTAGGAAATTTTATTTGTTTTAATATACAGTTATTGAAAGAGACATTTAATAAGTCCTCACAGAGTAACTGTAGAAAGGAACTACCATTGCCTGACATTAATTTACCCTTTCCAAACCTTTTTGGCTGCCTTTATTGCTGGAATGCAGTAAAGCTCCAGTAAGCATGAGAGACTTTAAGATTAGAGATACATCAACTTCTATGTTTCTAAATGTCTTGGGTTTAAAATTTGTCTACTTATTTAATATTTATAAAGAGATATGAAATAGTGTATACTTGCTTGCATTTAATTTTTTAAAATTACCCTTACATTTAGACATCAATTACATTCATTTGCTTATTCATTATACCTATGCATACAATTTGAGTATCATAAATGTTAATAAAATATATATGTGTGTGTATATACATATATAAATATACACATAAATGTACACACACATAAACTATATTTATCACTAAGATTTGATCTAGAGCACAGCAGAAGCATCAAACATGCTCTTATCTCATGACATCTGACATCTAGAGAGAAAGACTGACTCAGTCAGCTGTTTGACGTATGCGTACATGCTGCTCCTCTAGAAATCTGACTTAAAGGCCTTGACAACCAGACAAGTAAAATGAAAGACAGAAGTGGGGAGGTGCATAGCAATACCAAGGGGTCTAGTACATGATGAATGTATGCTCTGCCTAAGGGCATTCAGATTTATTTATTTTTAAATGCAATGCCAACTAAACAAAATATATCCACTTGTTGGATCCAACCCTTATAAACATTTAATTTCACGCTTACCAAAACCAGTACCAAAGCAAACTGCTTTTCTTCAAGGCCTTAGAAGTTGTATCTGTATGAGAAGATATTCTGTGGGTTCCAAGATATGGTTTGAGGGCCAAAAAATTAGAGTTAACCTCTAAAGGGGAAAAATAGCATTTGGAATTTATTAAAATTTTCTTTATTTGGTTTAAAATATTTGAGAGCACAGTTCAGTTACTGTGCCTGCCTACATATTCCATGAGAAACATATTGTTTCAGAGAAACACATCATTTTCCAGCTTAGCAAAAGTCTTATTTTAGTGATTCTCAATCTTCTTAGCCATACACATACTGTATTAGGTTCAGATCTGCCACATGGGCCCATGAGTTTTTACACACTACTGTCATGACACAGGTAAGTAAGCTGTAGGCTACTCACAATTCCCTGTGTACCAGCTATAACTTCACATCCTTCCTTGGCTGCATAGAAAGGCATATCCCTTTTCTGGATGATAGTGGGAATGCTACTATTATAGACAAAAATCTTGAATTTAATGTGTATTTTAAGACAAATTATTCATAATCTTAAGAGCATGGAAGTTAGTTACAAATTATTTTCCATACACTTTAAAATTGATCATGATGTGTAATCTGAAAGTTTCAGAACCAAGGTTAGGTAAACAATGAAAATAAAGCCATCACGGAAAGAGCAAAACAAAAGCATCGTCAACAAAACCTATGGTACTCATATCTGGAGATAAATAATGTCCCTAACAAAAGGCGGCTGGTTGTCATGTCAGGCATTATCCACTCACCTCGTGGTCAGGTCTAATTCACGTGAATACCTGTCTTGAGTAAATATTAAGATATTTGCATCTATTTCATGTTATGCTAAAATAGCCTAAGTTTTCAAAGATTTTTTCAGAG